GCCGACGATGTTGACACCGGAAGGGGGAACAACATCGTCAAAGCTGTTGTTGCGAATGAACGCCTCGTTCTCCATATCCATTGCTGCCTTCCACTCCTTCTTATAAGGCCCCAAGAGAGCTTCCTCTTTTGTGCGAGGAGTCAGAATGGTCGGGTTCTCGGTGAAGTTGAGGGAAGGGCAGTCAGTAATGTCCGGGAAGATGTGAGAGAGAAATTGGCAGACCGCGTGAAGGTCAAACAGCTCCTCATGCCTGTCCTCCAGAAGTGCACGGGGCGGAATACGGATGGAGGGGACATCACCCCCGGCAGGAGGAGGCGGGGTGACCGAACACCTGATGGAGAAGGCGGCTGGTCCCCAGGCGAGAGGCGGAGCCGGTCCCTTGGAACGAGTGCGACTAGAGACCGGAGACGAAGGCGGCTGCGGTGGGACCGGAGGGACTGGGCGCCTCCGATAGGAAACTGGTGAGCCGGGCTCAACGCGCGGGGAAGGCGGAGCAGGAGGAGGTGCCGTTGCGGAGGATACTGGGGAGGCCGGGTGAGACACGCCGGACGGAGAAGGCCCCGGAGAAAGGGCAGCGGCCGGAGGTGGGGCATCGAAGTCTGCCCAAACAAGCGTCGGGGGAGGTGGAGGAGGCTCGCCCGTGGTCGCAGGTGGAATGGGCGTGTCTCATCGAAGACGATATTACGGCTGCGAATCAGCTGTCTGGTGATTGGGTTGAGGAATAAGTAGTCTGGGGAGTCGGAGTTGTGCCCCAGGTACATGCAGGTCTGGGTTTTGGGACCAAGCTTGCCACCTTGCTTCCTGCGCATGTGGGGGCTTAGCAACACATACGCGGTACACCCCCAGACGCGTAGAGAGCGGGCGGAAGGCGTGACCCCAAGCCAGAGAGCGGTAGGTGTGGTGTCGGGCCGGTGGGGATGCGGATAAAGATTGTAGAGGAGTGCCGCATGGAAGAGGGCATATCCCCAGAGTGACCGTGGTGCGTTGGCGTGACTGAGGAGGCAGCGAGCGATCTGAACCAAGGTGTGGTTGCGGCTCTCTGCAATGCCAGTTTGCTGCAATGGAGGCACTTCAGAGGAGTGCCGAACGTGACTTGAACCTGGCCCACCCACGCTATGATGACATCAGGTGCCTCCGCCTTGGTATGCAGGAGATGCACAGAAACATACCGCGAGTGGTCATCGACTAGTGTAAGAAAGTACCGATGACCGCCTCGGGATGTGACTGGAGCTGGGCCCCAGACATCCATGTGCACTAGGTCCAGCGGAGCAGCTGCGACGGATGGGGAGGAAGGGTGCGGCTGCTGCCTGAGCTTGCTCTTGGTGCAGTCCAGGCAGGTGGGTGCAGGTGAGTCTGTTGGTGGAGGAAGCGCCGACGGGAGGCCAAGAAGAAGTTTCTTGGAAGCGATGTCGGCAAATGTACGGAAGTTGGGGTGACCCAAGCGATGGTGGTAGAGGATGGTTGGGTTGGCGAAGCTGCGAAACGAACACGGAGTGGTGTGGCAGCTTGCGCTTGGGAGAGGGCAGCGAGAGGTGCAGGTGAACGCAGCGTGTAGAGCTTGCTGCTGTTGAGTGTGAAGCGTGCTAGGAGCTTGTTGGACTTAGGGTCGAGGAGGTCACAGTGATCCGAGTGTGCTGGGAAGATCGTGGTGACGCCTGCCCGTTGGAGCTCGTGTTGGGCCACGAGATTGTGGCGTAGTGTGGGAACACACATGCCGGTGACACTGCCCGAAGGAAAAGCTGGGCACGGAACTGTGGAGGAGACCTTGGCGTGTGTTGTGAAACTGGAGTCTTCTCCTAGTAGACAGATTGGTGTCTCGTATGGCTTGAAGGAATGTTCTTCCTTGAGAACCGTGTGAGTGGCCCCACTATCGAGGGTGAACTCTATTGTGGCTGAGGTGCTTTGTGAGCCGGGACACTGCGAAATCGTCTCATTAATCATGGCAGTGCCAGGGAACAACATGTGGAGGCGCACATCAGCAGTAGAGCTACAGCAGCCTGCACGGATTCCTGCGCTTCGACTTGATTGACCTTGCGAGGAGCACGATTGACCATCCAGCTTGGCGGCTTCGAGGTGGTCCCATTGACGGCATACCATTCGTCATCCTTTTTCTTGAAGCAGGAGGCAAGGCCGTGGTTGGTGCCGCCACACACCTGGCCAGCACGAGGGCCGCGCTTGATGACGTAGGGACACGGGGGGAAGCGGTTGCGCTGGAATGGCACCGAAGCGGCATAGGCTTGAGGCACGGAGCGCGGATTGCATTGGCCTTGGCTTGAGCGCTGTTGTCCTTTTCGGCAGAAAGGAGCGCGGATGAGACCTTGGCAAATGTGAGGTCTGCAGGAGCAAGGCCCAAGAGCATCTTGCGTGTGACTTCGTATGCCGGGTTGAGGCCGACTAGGAGAGCGGCTGCAGGGGCTTGCTCGGGGAAGACTATCCCCAACTGTTTGAGTTCACCATGAATGGACTGCACCCTGGTGACATAGTCCGCCATGCCTGGCGAGTCCTCGAGCCGCACTTGGAACATGCTGGGGATGAGTATAGCAACTCCCACTGCAGTCTTGTTCAGGAAGCGATCCTCTAGGTAGAGCCAAATGGCGTTGGCAGACGGGTAGTTGTGGTAGGTTTCGACGAGTTCGGGAGGAGTGGTGCCCATGAAGACACTAATGACCGCACCATCTGCCTTCTCCCAATTCTTGTACTTGAGCAGTGCAGCAGCATAAACTGCTTCGGCGGCGGCATTAGCTGGATCGGCGGACCTCTCGGGTTTAGGAGGCTCTTTGCCATCACCGATGTTGAGAAGGACGTCGGTGAGCTCGAGCCCCTTCACCTCGCGACTGAGGAGGTGCTTGTCGACACCATAGCGCCAAGCCTTGTAGTTGGAGGATGTGCCGTCCGACTCGAGACGAAGGAGCGGGATCGGGTTGGCGAGTGAAGTGGTTGAGTAAGCCATTGTCGGTGTTGTTGGTTAGAGATGGCTATAAGCAGATGATTCAATGGCTCCTTGGAAATTTCTGCAGCACTTCGTTATGACGCCCAGAAAACTCGCGACCTTCGAAAAGCTATATCAAAACTCCAATCGGTGAAACAATCTGAAAATCGGATATGTTGTAGCTTGCAGCGTCAGCTTTCCACTGAAAGTTGAATCACTCGATTCCGTAGCTTTCGAGTGAGCTATGGCGATTGGCGCACTGGGGGGTAATCTGCCCTAGGAGAAATTGACAGTCCTCAGAGTCACTATGATTGAAGCTTACAAGTTCAGAGGCATGATAGGAAAGGCATTGAAGCACAGTTGGAAGGTGGGGATGGAAGGGAAGGATGAAAGGGAAGGACCCTGGAGGCCCATGGTCAAGAACATGACAAGAGTCAAAATCTTGACTCCCCATCCTCAGGTTCAGCCAGCCTGGCAAGACAAAATTCACACTGTGCCAGGTTGGCCTCCAAACCCCAAATGCTGCAGCTGCAAGGTGAGGACAAAAGTCCCACACATGCTGGTCCCTCCTCGTTATAGGGCTCTCCAACTTTGGTGTAGCAGCTGCCAAGGACTTCCAATGAGTTGTAACAAATCCATCAAACATTTCTTCGTAACTTCTTCATATGTGCTCCGATTCCAACAATTCTTGGCTCGTTGGAATGTGCTCGATGCCATGCACAATCCAAGCACATCTGCACAAACACAAGATAAACATGCAAAGACATGCAAACCCAACAAACCACACAAACAATGTAGCACACAAAACACATGCAACGGAATGATGCGAACAGACGACAGATGACGTGCAAACGAATATGCACCAACACACTCCCCCTCAGACTGTCGGCTTGTTTCGCCGTCTCTAGTTCAAGGACATTCCCGCCATCCTCGCACATCGCCAGTGTGGCTCTTCAGCTAGCCGCTTGGTAAGGAAGTCGGCTGGCTGTTGCTGAGTTTTCACGTAGATCGGATCCAGTGTCCCAAGCTTCACCTCCTTCCGCAGCCAATGCCACTTGATCCTCATGTGCTTGTTCAACCCATGAAGAACTGCATTGCGTGCCATGGCAATGGCTCCCTTGCTGTCACTGAACAGAGGTGTCGCACAAGTCTGTTCATGGCCGATCTCCTTCAAGAGCCTCCTTAGCCAGATGATTTCTTTTGCCGCATGAAACATCGCCATGTACTCAGATTCCACTGAAGATAGTGCCGTCTCAGACTGCTTCTTGGACCTCCAACTTACAGGCCCACCTCCCACCATGCAGATGTATCCACCAACTGATGATGAATCCTCATGCTCAGAAGCCCATGTGGCATCAGCAAAACAGGAAAGGAACACCTTTCCTTCTCCGAGCTGCTCCCCCTTCTCTTTGAGGACTTCAACTCCCTTTTGCCTGAGTTGAGCAGAGGCTGAATACTGTACTCCCACTGTAGGGTATGACTTGAGGTAGCGCACCACTCTCTCCGCTGCACCATACTGCTCTTCTGTTGGATTTTGCACTACTCGAGCCAGCTGTCCCACAGCAAAGCTGATGTCAGGCCGAGTATGCACAGCAGCGTAGAGTAGGCTCCCGACCATGGATTGGAATTGCCTCTGGTCTTCACTCTCAACTCCTTCTCCTTCAGCTGCCTTTATGAGTTTGAACTCGGAAGGCAAAGGTGTAACCACTTCCCGTTCTTCCTGCAGAGAGTACTTCTCAGCAAGGTGTTGATGTACTGTCCCTGATGCAGTTTGAGCCAGCCACGTTCAGTATCCCGCTCAATGTGCATTCCCAGGTAGTACCTTGCCTCTCCAAGTGACTTGCACTGAACTGCTCTGTGAGCTTCCGCTGCACTCCATCGATCTCCTTGTCACTGCTGCTGAAGAGCAGGATGTCATCCACGTACACCAGCAGAAGCACAAGCGACTCCCCCTCGCCCATCAGGAATAGGCTCTCGTCGCATGCACTCGCACGGAATCCAATCCCTTCCATGCACTGGCCAGCCTGTTGTACCAGCATCTCGGGGCCTGCTTCAAGCCATAGATGGCCTTGTTAAGTTTGCAGACACGACCGGTTCCATCCTCATAGCCAGGTGGTTGAACCATGTACACCTCCTCTTCCACTATGCCGTACAGAAAAGCGGTTACGATGTCCATCTGCTTCACCTTCCATTTGCGCACAGCAGCTACCGCCAGCAGCACACGTAGCGTTGGAGACTTAGCAGTTGGGCAAACACTTCTTTGTATCTTCCTTCTCTTTCTGCTGAAACCCCTTTGCCACCAGCCTGCTCTTGTAAACTGATGGCTCTCCTTTCTCATCCGTCTTGATTTTTGCCAGCCACTTGCACTGTATGCCTTCTTCCCATTTGGCAAGTACCAGGTCCCATGTGTGATTCTCCATCTGGCTGTTGTACTCTGCATCTCTTGAAACGAGCCACTTCCCCCGTTGAGGCCCGGCTAGCGCATGATCCATGCTCGGAGGTTGTATTGGTGCGTAAAAGCAGTATGCAGGCTCCTCGTCATCTGACTCTTGGTCATCACCCAAGAACAGCACTGCATCTTCGCCTTGAGCCTGTTGCTGTTGCTCAGTTGTGGCTCCTCCACTTGTAGAGCTCAGCAGCTTTCTCGTTGCCATTCTGGTACGTGCAGGGTAGTGGTTGGATTTACCCATTCTTTCACCTTCACCCAATCCTTTGTCCCCCCACCAATCTGTTTCCTTCGCTTTGGCAGACTTGGTGTTTTGGAAGCCTCTTGCTGCTGCTGCTCCGGATCCTTGACTTCAGCATCAGCTGCAATATCCTCATTGCTTCCTTCATCAGTACCGCTTGCCGTTGGCGCAGTGACTTCGCTGTCCTCAGGTTCGGACAAATCGAAGTGCATAGTGATCTCTTCCAGCTGCTGGGTGACCCTTGCCTCCGGCTGCTTCTCCCACTTGCCATACATGATGTTCTCCACAAATTTGACATCCCGACTGTCAAACAGCACATTCTTTGAGGGCTCCCAGAGTAGCCACCCCTTGCTCCTGCCGCAAGCCCAAGGTGCACACACCACAGTGCAGATGCTCCAAGCTTTGTCCTGTACGGTTTAGGGACATGCGCCACTGCCATGCATCCGAACACTCTAAGCATGTCCACTGGAGGCTTCTTTCCAAGCCACCTCTCCAGCGGCACCCACATATCATCAGCCACCTTTGTGAGTACGCGGTTCCTTGCCACTGTAGCATGCCTCACCGCATGAGGCCACATGGAGTTCCCCAGCCCTGATTCGATCAGCAGCGCTCGCGCAGTTTCCAGGATGGTCCTATTAGCCCTCTCAGCAACGCCATTTGACTGAGGGGTATAGGACGTCGTTAGCTGATGCTCAATGCCTTGTTTCTTGAGCCACGCAGTCAGATCTCCTCCTAGAAACTCTCCACCTCGGTCGGTTCTGATGCTCTTGCATGGGTGCCCAGATTGTCGCTCGACGAACGGCAGCCAGTCATCTCGTATTGTTGAGGCAGCATGATCCTTCTGCTTCAACGGGTATGCCCACATCAGCCGACTCCAGTCATCAACTATTGTCAGGAAGTATCTTTCCCCCTTACTTCCTCGAACTGGAAAAGGTCCTACCAGGTCCATGTGCACCAGTTCCAGTGCTGCCTTGCTTTTCCCAGCTACGCCGTGAAAGGGGAACCGTGTGAACTTGCTCAGCAGACACGTCTCGCACTTGGTATCATTTGGTTGCCCAGAAAGCTTCAGCCCCTTTACTGCTTCTTCCTTATGCAGTTGCTGCAGCAATGGCATAGCCACATGCCCTAGACGCCTGTGTGCGGTTTCCCAATCAGTCTCCCCCGACCTTGCAGAAACGTCACTCCTGCAGCACTAACTGCATTGCACTCCCCCTGGACTCCAGATCCCGCCTTTACTCTCCCAACTCCTTCTTTGTTGATTCCCATATCAGTGCAGGGATCTGCCACATGGATCTGAAGACATCTCTGCTTTCGTGTAAATCCCATACACACGATCTCCTCGCAGCCCCTTGAATGTTTTGGATCCATTGGTGGTGGTGCTGACTCCGGCCTGGCCTAGCTTGCGCAGCGATATCAGATTGGCCTTCAGCCCCGGTACGAGTAACACGTCCTTCAGCACAACCAGTCCACCATCAGGTGCTCTGAATGCAGCTCGACCAACTCCAGCGACCTTCACTGCATGTCCGGATGCTGAGCGCACTTCAGAGATTGGAGGCGCTCGCACAGCATCCAGCAAGTCCTTGCGTGGTGTCATTGTCCATGCAGCACCAGAGTCCATGACCCACATGTCAAGCGGGTGCAATTCCTCTCCAGCCCTTGCAACAGCTGTGCCACTGTCATCTTTGTCACACACATGGTAGAACTGTCCAGCATTCCTCTCCTCATTTCCCATTCCTCTGTCATCCTTGGAGGTTTCTTCAGCAGGATCAGCTACCATGTTGGCACCTCCATGTGGTTGCTTTCCTCCATTCCCCTTTGCGATTGGTTCCAAGGGGTCCACCAGTCGGGCTTGGTAGAGCAGCGAAACCATGGATGCCCTTCTTCCTTGCAATACCAGCACTCTCCCCTCAAGCGTGGTTCACTGTTGTCATTGTTGGAGTGACCACCTCTTCCTCTTGCACCAGCGCCACCACGCCCCGCTGGTTCCAAGTCCCGCGACCACCTTGGCTGTGGTAAGAGCGACCGCGATTGCCACGCCCTCGATCCCTCCATGTCCCTTGCATGGCATAGCCGCTGGTGCTGTCATCACCTCCGCGCAGTGTATAGCGACGAAAATCTTCTTCCAGAATCTTGGTGCGAATCCACTCCAATGTCCATTGACTTTGGTTTTGTGGCAAGCTGAGTCCGCTTATAAATTGCAGCCAAGACTCGGCAGCAGGCTGAGCATCTTGAGACACTTGTCTGCTCGGGTACGTGATGCCAGCAATCGCCAATTTCGCGTAGAGTTCCCTCATCTTGTCCAGTACGGGCTGCACAGGTTCATTCTCGCTCAACCGCAGCATGGACAGCTCCCGATCCAGCATGAGAGAAGCGGCAACCGATGTCGGAGCGTGCAGGTCCTTGAGCACTGCCCATGCCTTGGGCCCACAATCATTTCCGGTAGCAGATGCATGATGTGATGCCTCTGGTTCAGCTCCAAGCTTTGTGACAGTAGATAATACCCAGCAGATGAACGTTCATCCCAGTCCGCTTGCTCTGCCATTTCCTTTGGCCTTGGCTCCGTTCCAATCATGAGCTTCAAGAGGCCAATTTGTCGAAAGTAGAGCTGCATCTTCCATGCCCAATCATCATAGCCATCTCCAGAGAACTTCTCAATGGTGAAGTTCTTCAGCACCTCCTTAAGCAGTGACCCCTGGCTTGTACGCGCTCCCCTTTGCGCTGCAATGCCAGAATCTTGGGTTGAGCTGCCTCCTTGGACTGAAGTATCACCTCCACCAGAGTCCTCTTATCTCCCATCGTATTTTAGGTCCCAAATGCGTGATAATGGCTCTGATACCACTTGTTGGTTAGAGAAGGCTATAAGCAGATGATTCAATGGCTCCTTGGAAATTTCTGCAGCACTTCGTTATGACGCCCAGAAAACTCGCGACCTTCGAAAAGCTATATCAAAACTCCAATCGGTGAAACGATCTGAAAATCGGATATGTTGTAGCTTGCAGCGTCAGCTTTCCACTGAAAGTTGAATCACTCGATTCCGTAGCTTCGAGTGAGCTATGGCGTTTGGCGCACTGGGGGTAATCTGCCCTAGGAGAATTGACAGTCCTCAGAGTCACTATGATTGAAGCTTACAAGTTCAGAGGCATGATAGGAAAAGGCATTGAAGCACAGTTGGAAGGTGGGGTGGAAGGGAAGGATGAAAGGGAAGGACCCTGGAGGCCCATGGTCAAGAACATGACAAGAGTCAAATGACTCCCCATCCTCAGGTTCAGCCAGCCTGGCAAGACAAAATTCACACTGTGCCAGGTTGGCCTCCAAACCCCAAATGCTGCAGCTGCAAGGTGGGGACAAAAGTCCCACACATGCTGGTCCCTCCTCGTTATAGGGCTCCAACTTTGGTGTAGCAGCTGACAAGGACTTCCAATGAGTTGTAACAAATCCATCAAACATTTCTTCGTAACTTCTTCATATGTGCTCCGATTCCAACAATTCTTGGCTCGTTGGAATGTGCTCGATGTCATGCACAATCCAAGCACATCTGCACAAGCACAAGATGAACATGCAAAGACATGCAAACCCAACAAACCACACAAACAACGTAGCACACAAAACACATGCAACGAAATGATGCGAACAGACGACAGGATGACGTGCAAACGAATATGCACCAACACACTCCCCCTCAGACTGTCGGCTTGTTTCGCCGTCTCTAGTTCAAGGACATTCCCGCCATCCTCGCACAGCGCCAGTGTGGCTCTTCAGCTAGCCGCTTGGTAAGGAAGTCGGCTGGCTGTTGCTGAGTTTTCACGTAGATCGGATCCAGTGTCCCAAGCTTCACCTCCTTCCGCAGCCAATGCCACTTGATCCTCATGTGCTTGTTCAACCCATGAAGAACTGCATTGCGTGCCATGGCAATGGCTCCCTTGCTGTCACTGAACAGAGGTGTCGCACAAGTCTGTTCATGGCCGATCTCCTTCAAGAGCCTCCTTAGCCAGATGATTTCTTTTGCCGCATGAAACATCGCCATGTACTCAGATTCCACTGAAGATAGTGCCGTCTCAGACTGCTTCTTGGACCTCCAACTTACAGGCCCACCTCCCACCATGCAGATGTATCCACCAACTGATGATGAATCCTCATGCTCAGAAGCCCACGTGGCATCAGCAAAACAGGAAAGGAACACCTTTCCTTCTCCGAGCTGCTCCCCCTTCTCTTTGAGGACTTCAACTCCTTTTTGACTGAGTTGAGCAGAGGCTGAATACTGTACTCCCACTGTAGGGTATGACTTGAGGTAGCGCACCACTCTCTCCGCTGCACCACACTGCTCTTCTGTTGGATTTTGCACTACTCGAGCCAGCTGTCCCACAGCAAAGCTGATGTCAGGCCGAGTATGCACAGCAGCGTAGAGTAGGCTCCCGACCATGGATTGGAATTGCCTCTGGTCTTCACTCTCAACTCCTTCTCCTTCAGCTGCCTTTATGAGTTTGAACTCGGAAGGCAAAGGTGTGACCACTTCCCGTTCTTCCTGCAGAGAGTACTTCTCAGCCAAGGTGTTGATGTACTGTCCCTGATGCAGTTTGAGCCAGCCACGTTCAGTATCCCGCTCAATGTGCATTCCCAGGTAGTACCTTGCCTCTCCAAGTGACTTGCACTTGAACTGCTCTGTGAGCTTCCGCTGCACCCATCGATCTCCTTGTCACTGCTGCTGAAGAGCAGGATGTCATCCACGTACACCAGCAGAAGCACAAGCGACTCCCCCTCGCCATCAGGAATAGGCTCTCGTCGCATGCACTCGCACGGAATCCAATCCCTTCCAGTGCACTGGCCAGCCTGTTGTACCAGCATCTCGGGGCCTGCTTCAAGCCATAGATGGCCTTGTTGAGTTGCAGACACGACCGGTCCATCCTCATAGCCAGGTGGTTGAACCATGTACACCTCCTCTTCCACTATGCCTACAGAAAAGCGGTTACGATGTCCATCTGCTTCATCTTCCATTTGCGCACAGCAGCTACCGCCAGCAGCACACGTAGCGTTGGAGACTTAGCAGTTGGGGCAAACACTTCTTTGTAGTCTTCCTTCTCTTTCTGCTGAAACCCCTTTGCCACCAGCCTGCTCTTGTAAACTGATGGCTCTCCTTTCTCATCCGTCTTGATTTTTGCCAGCCACTTGCACTGTATAGCCTTCTTCCCATTTGGCAAGTAACCAGGTCCCATGTGTGATTCTCCATTGGCTGTTGTACTCCTGCATCTCTCGAAACGAGCCACTTCCCCGTTGAGGCCCGGCAGGCATGATCCATGCTCGGAGGTTGTACTGGTGCGTAAAAGCAGTAGCAGGCTCCTCGTCATCTGACTCTTGGTCATCACCCAAGAACAGCACTGCATCTTCGCCTTGAGCCTGTTGCTGTTGCTCAGTTGTGGCTCCTCCACTTGTAGAGCTCAGCAGCTTTCTCGTTGCCATTTCTGGTACGTGCAGGGTAGGTGGCTGGATTTACCCATTCTTTCACCTTCACCCAATCCTTTGTCCCCCCACCAATCTGTTTCCTTCGCTTTGGCAGACTTGGTGTTTTGGAAGCCTCTTGCTGCTGCTGCTCCGGATCCTTGACTTCAGCATCAGCTGCAATATCCTCATTGCTTCCTTCATCAGTACCGCTTGCCGTTGCGCAGTGACTTCGCTATCCTCAGGTTCGGACAAATCGAAGTGCATAGTGATCTCTTCCAGCTGCTGAGTGGACCCTTGCCTCCGGCTGCTTCTCCCACTTGCCATATATGATGTTCTCCACAAATTTGACATCCCGACCGTCAAACAACACATCTTTGAGGACTCTCAGAGTAGCCACCCTTGCTCCCTGCCGCAAGCCCAAGGTGCACACACCCACAAGTGCAGATGCTCCAAGCTTTGTCCTGTACGGTTTAGGGACATGCGCCACGCCATGCATCCGAACATCTAAGCATGTCCACTGGAGGCTTCTTTCCAAGCCACCTCTCCAGCGGCACCCACATATCATCAGCCACCTTTATGAGTACGCGGTTCCTTGCCACTGTAGCATGCCTCACCGCATGAGGCCACATGGAGTTCCCAGCCCTGATTCGATCAGCAGCGCTCGCGCAGTTTCCAGGATGGTCCTATTAGCCCTCTCAGCAACGCCATTTGACTGAGGGGTATAGGACGTCGTAGCTGATGCTCAATGCCTTGTTTCTTGAGCCACGCAGTCAGATCTCCTCCTAGAAACTCTCCACTCGGTCGGTTCTGATGCTCTGCATGGGTGCCCAGATTGTCGCTCGACGAACGGGAGCCAGTCATCTCGTATTGTTGAGGCAGCATGATCCTTCTGCTTCAACGGGTATACCCACATCAGCCGACTCCAGTCATCAACTATTGTTAGGAAGTATCTTTCCCCCTTCTTTCCTTGACTGAAAGGTCCTACCAGGTCCATGTGCACCAGTTCCAGTGCTGCCTTGCTTTTCCCAGCTACGCCGTGAAAGGGGAACCGTGTGAACTTGCTCAGCAGACACGTCTCGCACTTGGTATCATTTGGTTGCCCAGAAAGCTTCAGCCCCTTTACTGCTTCTTCCTTATGCAGTTGCTGCACAATGGCATGGCCACATGCCCTAGACGCCTGTGTGCGGTTTCCCAATCAGTCTCCCCCACCTTGCAGAAACTATCACTCCTGCAGCACTAACTGCATTGCACTCCCCCTGGACTCCAGATCCCGCCTTTACTGCTCCCACCTCCTTCTTTGTTGATTCCCATATCAGCGCAGGGATCTGCCACATGGATCTCAAGACATCTCTGCTTTCGTGTAAATCCCATAGCACACGATCTCCTCGCAGCCCCTTGAATGTTTGGATCCATTGGTGGTGGTGCTGACTCCGGCCTGGCCTAGCTTGCGCAGCGATATCAGATTGGCCTTCAGCCCCGGTACGAGTAACACTCCTTCAGCACAACCAGTCCACCATCAGGTGCTCTGAATGCAGCTCGACCAACTCCAGCGACCTTCACTGCATGTCCGGATGCTGAGCGCACTTCGGAGATGGAGGCGCTCGCACAGCATCCAGCAAGTCTTGCGTGGTGTCATTGTCCAGCAGCACCAGAGTCCATGACCCACATGTCAAGCGGGTGCAATTCCTCTCCAGCCCTTGCAAACAGCTGTGCCACTGTCATCTTTGTCACACACATGGTAGAACTGTCCAGCATTCCTCTCCTCATTTCCCATTCCTCTGTCATCTTGGAGGTTTCTTCAGCAGGATCAGCTACCATGTTGGCACCTCCATGTGGTTGCTTTCCTCCATTCCCCTTTGCGATTGGTTCCAAGGGGTCCACCAGTCGGGCTTGGTAGAGCAGCGAAACCATGGATGCCCTTCTTCCTTGCAATACCAGCACTCTCCCCTCAAGCGTGGTTCACTGTTGTCATTGTTGGAGTGACCACCTCTTCCTCTTGCACCAGCGCCACCACGCCCCCGTGGTTCCAAGTCCCGCGACCACCTTGGTTGTAGTAAGAGCGACCGCGATTGCCACGCCCTCGATCTCTCCATGTCCCTTGCATGGCATAGCCGCTGGTGCTGTCATCACCTCCCGGAGTGTATAGCGACGAAAATCTTCTTCCAGAATCTTGGTGCGAATCCACTCCAATGTCCATTGACTTTGGTTTTGTGGCAAGCTGAGTCCGCTTATAATTGCAGCCAAGACTCGGGCAGCAGGCTGAGCATCTTGAGACACTTAGTCTGCTCGGGGTACGTGATGCCAGCAATCGCCAATTTCGCGTAGAGTTCCCTCATCTTGTCCAGTACGGGCTTGCACAGGTTCATTCTCGCTCAACCGCAGCATGGACAGCTCCCGATCCAGCATGAGAGAAGCGGCAACCGATGTCGGAGCGTGCAGGTCCTTGAGCACTGCCCATGCCTTGGGCCCACAATCAGTTTCCGGCAGCAGATGCATGATGTGATGCCTCTGGTTCAGCTCCAAGCTTGTGACAGTAGATAATACCCAGCAGATGAACGTTCATCCCAGTCCGCTCGCTCTGCCATTTCCTTTGGCCTGGCTCCGTTTCCAATCATGAGCTTCAAGAGGCCAATTTGTCGAAAGTAGAGCTGCATCTTCCATGCCCAATCATCATAGCCATCTCCAAAGAACTTCTCAATGGTGAAGTTCTTCAGCACCTCCTTAAGCAGTGACCCCTGGCTTGTACGCGCTCCCTTTGCGCTGCAATGCCAGAATCTTGGGTTGAGCTGCCTCCTTGGACTGAAGTATCACCTCCACCAGAGTCCTCCTTATCTCCCATCGTATTTTAGGTCCCGAATGCTTGATAATGGCTCTGATACCACTTGTTGGTTAGAGAAGGCTATAAGCAGATGATTCAATGGCTCCTTGGAAATTTCTGCAGCACTTCGTTATGACGCCCAGAAAACTCGCGACCTTCGAAAAGCTATATCTAAAACTCCAATCGGTGAAACAATCTGAAAATCGGATATGTTGTATCTTGCAGCGTCAGCTTTCCACTGAAAGTTGAATCACTCAATTCCGTAGCTTTTCGAGTGAGCTATGGCGATTGGCGCACTGGGGGGTAATCTGCCCTAGGAGAAATTGACAGTCCTCAGAATCACTATGATTGAAGCTTACAAGTTCAGAGGCATGATAGGAAAGGCATTGAAGCACAGTTGGAAGGTGGGGATGGAAGGGAAGGATGAAAGGGAAGGACCCTGGAGGCCCTTGGTCAAGAACATGACAAGAGTCAAAATCTTGACTCCCCATCCTCAGGTTCAGCCAGCCTGGCAAGACAAAATTCACACTGTGCCAGGTTGGCCTCCAAACCCCAAATGCTGCAGCTGCAAGGTGAGGACAAAAGCCCCACACATGCTGGTCCCTCCTCGTTATAGGGCTCTCCAACTTTGGTGTAGCAGCTGCCAAGGACTTCCAATGAGTTGTAACAAATCCATCAAACACCTCTTCGTAACTTCTTCATATGTGCTCCGATTCCAACAATTCTTGGCTCGTTGGAATGTGCTCGATGCCATGCACAATCCAAGCACATCTGCACAACACAAGATAAACATGCAAAGACATGCAAACCCAACAAACCACACAAACAATGTAGCACACAAAACACATGCAACGGAATGATGCGAACAGACGACAGATGACGTGCAAACGAATATGCACCAACACACTCCCCCTCAGACTGTCGGCTTGTTTCGCCGTCTCTAGTTCAAGGACATTCCCGCCATCCTCGCACATCGCCAGTGTGGCTCTTCAGCTAGCCGCTTGGTAAGGAAGTCGGCTGGCTGTTGCTGAGTTTTCACGTAGATCGGATCCAGTGTCCCAAGCTTCACCTCCTTCCGCAGCCAATGCCACTTGATCCTCATGTGCTTGTTCAACCCATGAAGAACTGCATTGCGTGCCATGGCAATGGCTCCCTTGCTGTCACTGAACAAAGGTGTCGCACAAGTCTGTTCATGGCCGATCTCCTTCAAGAGCCTCCTTAGCCAGATGATTTCTTTTGCCGCATGAAACATCGCCATGTACTCAGATTCCACTGAAGATAGTGCCGTCTCAGACTGCTTCTTGGACCTCCAACTTACAGGCCCACCTCCCACCATGCAGATGTATCCACCAACTGATGATGAATCCTCATGCTCAGAAGCCCATGTGGCATCAGCAAAATAGGAAAGGAACACCTTTCCTTCTCCGAGCTGCTCCCCCTTCTCTTTGAGGACTTCAACTCCCTTTTGCCTGAGTTGAGCAGAGGCTGAATACTGTACTCCCACCGTAGGGTATGACTTGAGGTAGCGCACCACTCTCTCCGCTGCACCATACTGCTCTTCTGTTGGATTTTGCACTACTCGAGCCAGCTGTCCCACAGCAAAGCTGATGTCAGGCCGAGTATGCACAGCAGCGTAGAGTAGGCTCCCGACCATGGATTGGAATTGCCTCTGGTCTTCACTTTCAACTCCTTCTCCTTCAGCTGCCTTTATGAGTTTGAACTCGGAAGGCAAAGGTGTAACCACTTCCCGTTCTTCCTGCAGAGAGTACTTCTCAGCGAAGGTGTTGATGTACTGTCCCTGATGCAGTTTGAGCCAGCCACGTTCAGTATCCCGCTCAATGTGCATTCCCAGGTAGTACCTTGCCTCTCCAAGTGACTTGCACTCGAACTGCTCTGTGAGCTTCCGCTGCACTCCATCGATCTCCTTGTCACTGCTGCTGAAGAGCAGGATGTCATCCACGTACACCAGCAGAAGCACAAGCGACTCCCCCTCGCCCATCAGGAATAGGCTCTCGTCGCATGCACTCGCACGGAATCCAATCCCTTCCAATGCACTGGCCAGCCTGTTGTACCAGCATCTCGGGGCCTGCTTCAAGCCATAGATGGCCTTGTTGAGTTTGCAGACACGACCGGTTCCATCCTCATAGCCAGGTGGTTGAACCATGTACACCTCCTCTTCCACTATGCCGTACAGAAAAGCGGTTACGATGTCCATCTGCTTCATCTTCCATTTGCGCACAGCAGCTACCGCCAGCAGCACACGTAGCGTTGGAGACTTAGCAGTTGGAGCAAACACTTCTTTGTAGTCTTCCTTCTCTTTCTGCTGAAACCCCTTTGCCACCAGCCTGCTCTTGTAAACTGATGGCTCTCCTTTCTCATCCGTCTTGATTTTTGCCAGCCACTTGCACTGTATAGCCTTCTTCCCATTTGGCAAGTTTACCAGGTCCCATGTGTGATTCTCCATCTGGCTGTTGTACTCTGCATCTCTCGAAACGAGCCACTTCCCCCGTTGAGGCCCGGCTAGCGCATGATCCATGCTCGGAGGTTGTACTGGTGCGTAAAAGCAGTATGCAGGCTCCTCGTCATCTGACTCTTGGTCATCACCCAAGAACAGCACTGCATCTTCGCCTTGAGCCTGTTGCTGTTGCTCAGTTGTGGCTCCTCCACTTGTAGAGCTCAGCAGCTTTCTCGTTGCCATTCTGGTACGTGCAGGGTAGGTGGCTGGATTTACCCATTCTTTCACCTTCACCCAATCCTTTGTCCCCCCACCAATCTGTTTCCTTCGCTTTGGCAGACTTGGTGTTTTGGAAGCCTCTTGCTGCTGCTGCTCCGGATCCTTGACTTCAGCATCAGCTGCAATATCCTCATTGCTTCCTTCATCAGTACCGCTTGCCGTTTGCGCAGTGACTTCGCTATCCTCAGGTTCGGACAAATCGAAGTGCATAGTGATCTCTTCCAGCTGCTGAGTGACCCTTGCCTCCGGCTGCTTCTCCCACTTGCCATATATGATGTTCTCCACAAATTTGACATCCCGACCGTCAAACAACACATTCTTTGAGGACTCTCAGAGTAGCCACCCTTGCTCCCTGCCGCAAGCCCAAGGTGCACACACCACAGTGCAGATGCTCCAAGCTTTGTCCTGTACGGTTTAGGGACATGCGCCACAGCCATGCATCCGAACACTCTAAGCATGTCCACTGGAGGCTTCTTTCCAAGCCACCTCTCCAGCGGCACCCACATATCATCAGCCACCTTTATGAGTACGCGGTTCCTTGCCACTGTAGCATGCCTCACCGCATGAGGCCACATGGAGTTTCCCAGCCCTGATTCGATCAGCAGCGCTCGCGCAGTTTCCAGGATGGTCCTATTAGCCCTCTCAGCAACGCCATTTGACTGAGGGGTATAGGACGTCGTTAGCTGATGCTCAATGCCTTGTTTCTTGAGCCACGCAGTCAGATCTCCTCCTAGAAACTCTCCACCTCGGTCGGTTCTGATGCTCTTGCATGGGTGCCCAGATTGTCGCTCGACGAACGGGAGCCAGTCATCTCGTATTGTTGAGGCAGCATGATCCTTCTGCTTCAACGGGTATACCCACATCAGCCGACTCCAGTCATCAACTATTGTTAGGAAGTATCTTTCCCCCTTCTTTCCTTGAACTGGAAAGGTCCTACCAGGTCCATGTGCACCAGTTCCAGTGCTGCCTTGCTTTTCCCAGCTACGCCGTGAAAGGGGAACCGTGTGAACTTGCTCAGCAGACACGTCTCGCACTTGGTATCATTTGGTTGCCCAGAAAGCTTCAGCCCCTTTACTGCTTCTTCCTTATGCAGTTGCTGCAGCAATGGCATGGCCACATGCCCTAGACGCCTGTGTGCGGTTTCCCAATCAGTCTCCCCCAACCTTGCAGAAACTATCACTCCTGCAGCACTAACTGCATTGCACTCCCCCTGGACTCCAGATCCCGCCTTTACTGCTCCCACCTCCTTCTTTGTTGATTCCCATATCAGTGCAGGGATCTGCCACATGGATCTCAAGACATCTCTGCTTTCGTGTAAATCCCATAGCACACGATCTCCTCGCAGCCCCTTGAATGTTTTGGATCCATTGGTGGTGGTGCTGACTCCGGCCTGGCCTAGCTTGCGCAGCGATATCAGATTGGCCTTCAGCCCCGGTACGAGTAACACGTCCTTCAGCACAACCAGTCCACCATCAGGTGCTCTGAATGCAGCTCGACCAACTCCAGCGACCTTCACTGCATGTCCGGATGCTGAGCGCACTTCGGAGATTGGAGGCGCTCGCACAGCATCCAGCAAGTCTTTGCGTGGTGTCATTGTCCAGGCAGCACCAGAGTCCATGACCCACATGTCAAGCGGGTGCAATTCCTCTCCAGCCCTTGCAACAGCTGTGCCACTGTCATCTTTGTCACACACATGGTAGAACTGTCCAGCATTCCTCTCCTCATTTCCCATTCCTCTGTCATCCTTGGAGGTTTCTTCAGCAGGATCAGCTACCATGTTGGCACCTCCATGTGGTTGCTTTCCTCCATTCCCCTTTTGCGATTGGTTCCAAGGGGTCCACCAGTCGGGCTTGGTAGAGCAGCGAAACCATGGATGCCCTTCTTCCTTGCAATACCAGCACTCTCCCCTCAAGCGTGGTTCACTGTTGTCATTGTTGGAGTGACCACCTCTTCCTCTTGCACCAGCGCCACCACGCCCCCGCTGGTTCCAAGTCCCGCGACCACCTTGGTTGTAGTAAGAGCGACCGCGATTGCCACGCCCTCGATCTCTCCATGTCCCTTGCATGGCATAGCCGCTGGTGCTGTCATCACCTCCACGGAGTGTATAGCGACGAAAATCTTCTTCCAGAATCTTGGTGCGAATCCACTCCAATGTCCATTGACTTTGGTTTTGTGGCAAGCTGAGTCCGCTTATAAATTGCAGCCAAGACTCGGGCAGCAGGCTGAGCATCTTGAGACACTTAGTCTGCTCGGGGTACGTGATGCCAGCAATCGCCAATTTCGCGTAGAGTTCCCTCATCTTGTCCAGTACGGGCTGCACAGGTTCATTCTCGCTCAACCGCAGCATGGACAGCTCCCGATCCAGCATGAGAGAAGCGGCAACCGATGTCGGAGCGTGCAGGTCCTTGAGCACTGCCCATGCCTTGGGCCCACAATCAGTTTCCGGCAGCAGATGCATGATGTGATGCCTCTGGTTCAGCTCCAAGCTTTGTGACAGTAGATAATACCCAGCAGATGAACGTTCATCCCAGTCCGCTCGCTCTGCCATTTCCTTTGGCCTGGGCTCCGTTCCAATCATGAGCTTCAAGAGGCCAATTTGTCGAAAGTAGAGCTGCATCTTCCATGCCCAATCATCATAGCCATCTCCAAAGAACTTCTCAATGGTGAAGTTCTTCAGCACCTCCTTAAGCAGTGACCCCTGGCTTGTACGCGCTCCCCTTTGCGCTGCAATGCCAGAATCTTGGGTTGAGCTGCCTCCTTGGACTGAAGTATCACCTCCACCAGAGTCCTCCTTATCTCCCATCGTATTTTAGGTCCCAAATGCTTGATAATGGGCTCTGATACCACTTGTTGGTTAGAGAAGGCTATAAGCAGATGATTCAATGGCTCCTTGGAAATTTCTGCAGCACTTCGTTATGACGCCCAGAAAACTCGCGACCTTCGAAAAGCTATATCTAAAACTCCAATCGGTGAAACAATCTGAAAATCGGATATGTTGTAGCTTGCAGCGTCAGCTTTCCACTGAAAGTTGAATCACTCAATTCCGTAGCTTTTCGAGTGAGCTATGGCGATTGGCGCACTGGGGGTAATCTGCCCTAGGAGAAATTGACAGTCCTCAGAATCACTATGATTGAAGCTTACAAGTTCAGAGGCATGATAGGAAAGGCATTGAAGCACAGTTGGAAGGTGGGGATGGAAGGGAAGGATGAAAGGGAAGGACCCTGGAGGCCCTTGGTCAAGAACATGACAAGAGTCAAAATCTTGACTCCCCATCCTCAGGTTCAGCCAGCCTGGCAAGACAAAATTCACACTGTGCCAGGTTGGCCTCCAAACCCCAAATGCTGCAGCTGCAAGGTGAGGACAAAAGCCCCACACATGCTGGTCCCTCCTCGTTATAGGGCTCTCCAACTTTGGTGTAGCAGCTGCCAAGGACTTCCAATGAGTTGTAACAAATCCATCAAACACCTCTTCGTAACTTCTTCATATGTGCTCCGATTCCAACAATTCTTGGCTCGTTGGAATGTGCTCGATGCCATGTACAATCCAAGCACATCTGCACAAACATAAGATAAACATGCAAAGACATGCAAACCCAACAAACCACACAAACAATGTAGCACACAAAACACATGCAACGGAATGATGCGAACAGACGACAGATGACGTGCAAACGAATATGCACCAACAAGTGTGCAGCGCGGCACTTCTGGAAATTGGTCGACGAGAATTGCTGAAAATCACTCTGACGGCTTTATCAAAATGCCGCTAAGTAGGAAATAGCGTCGGCGAAAATTCGTTAAAACGCCGACTTGAAACTGAATCTGAGCCTATGTCTAACCCCGGACCCACACACCCCCCCACACACCCCCAGGCCCTGTCCCGCAGCTACACAGCTCCGCAACCAGCTCCGCAACCAGCTCCGCAACCAGCTCCGCAACCAGCTCCGCTCCGCTTCAACCTGTGTACCTGCTCTTGCTTGACGCGAGACGTTCGTGGAGGCGATTTCGCGAGGGGAGTTCGCCTATTCTGGCGGGGTCTAATGGGAAACTCGAGAACGAGTTTTAAGAGATGGTCGAAATTGAGATTCGACCAAGGAGAACCGAGGAGGAAATCGACGATGAGAAGCGTGAATGCTTCAGAGATGAGAAATTCAACGAGGTCGAGTGCGAAGGCGGTCGACGATGAGAGGCGCGACTGCAGAGTGGAGCACGTCGAAATTCCGACGATTCGAAACGAATGTCACGACGATGAAGTGCGCGTAGCGCGGGCACGTTGAGATTAGGACCTCGATCCGCGTGTGCGGATAGGTCGCTCTGATACCATGTAAGAAATAGAGTTGAAATGATTGATTAGGTAAGGAGCCCAAGGCTCTATAAGTACATGGCAAGGTGAGAGAGAATGGATGAAGGGGCAATTGGAGGGAATCCCCATTGGGATTTCCGGAATCTCCAATTGGGTAATTGGAGATTGGGGGGATCACAATTGGGTGAGGTTGGGATTTGTGAGTACACCCCAACCCACTAGAACATTCATCACCTAAACTAGGATATAAAAGTACAAATACAAAAGTGGTGTTTGCAGTCTATTTCTAACAGTAACGAGAGAGGACACTAACCGGGTAAGCCAAGTCTGGTCAAGTGCACATCATGGCATACATCACTGAACCGACTAGCTCAGGGTACAGGTCCTTGCAGGCGTCAGGAGAAGGAATCGGAGGGGCCGTCAGCTGATGCTGTAGTGGGAGTGGAGTGGAGACAAAGTTACTGGAGTCCATGTCGAACCGCTTGAGAAAGTTGTCGATGTAGGACTGGGAGAGGGTGATCGCGCAAGGCTGGCAGTCACGAGTGATCTCCATCCCCAGGGCATTCCATGTGAACATCCTCCTTGAGCTGGCCTTGGAGAAAAGCGGAGGAGGCGTCCATGGACTTGATCTCGAAGTTGCCGCAAGTGGCTATATCAAGAACCGCGCACAGTCGGGAGCTTGGTCGTGGGCGAGAAGGTTTCGAAAAAGTTGAGATACTCCTTCTGGGTGAAACCCTTTGCCACGTAACTTGCCTTGAACAGTGGAGTGGAGGCCTTGGAGTTGTTTGACTCGGAAGATCCATTTTCCGCCGACGATGTTAACACCGGAAGGGGGAATGACATCGTCAAAGCTGTTGTTGCGAATGAACGCCTCCTTCTCCAAATCCATTGCTGCCTTCCATTCCTTCTTATAAGGCCCAAGAGAGCTTCCTCTTTTGTGCGAGGAGTCGGAATGGTCGGGTTCTCGGTGAAGCTTGAGGGAAGGGCAGTCAATAATGTCCGGGAAGATGTGAGAGAGAAATTGGCAGACCGCGTGAAGGTCAAACAGCTCCTCATGCCTGTCCTTGAGAGGTGCACGGAGGGGCAATACGGATGGAGGGGACATCACCCCTGGCAGGAGGAGGCGGGGTGACCGAACACCGGATAGAGAAGGCGGCTGGTCCCCATGCGAGAGGCGGAGCCGGTCCCTTGGAACTAGTGCATATAGAAACCGGAGACGAAGGTGGCTGCGGGGGGACCGGAGGGACTGTGCATCTCCGGTAGGAGACTGGTGAGCCGGGCTGGACGCGCGGGGAAGGCATGTTGTGTGATGTCATCATATGCTATCACATTCTGTCTGCCTCCCATCCCATGTTTTCAACTTGCATGTGTGGTTTGAATGTGCAAGCATTTGTGTGTGGTGTGTTCTGGAGTTTGGGAATGTGTTTTGTGTTATTTTTGTTTGAGCAGGTATTTGTGATGATAGATCTTGAGAAGATCTTTCCGACGCAACAAGAATCGCTTCAATCGGAGCAAGAACGCGAAAGCTATGAAGATTCAAAGTTCATGAGCTTGCGTTACAATTGCGGCGGTTACAAAGTGAAGTTGTGGGGTGACTTTATATGGAGTTGGGACCTTTGGGGTTGGGGAAATTTGTCACTCTACTGTAACAGCTGCAAATTGGTTGGGAACAACCAAGCTAGGTTGGCAAGGGTGGCCAACTTGGATGGATTGGTTGGGAAGGGACAAATGTCAAAATTGGGGTTCCTATAGGGAGGGAATCTTTGTGCTTATGGGGTTTCCTTGGTTGGGGACTCTCTTGGGACCTTCCCTCTCGTTCCTCTCTTTCTATCCCAACCTTTTCTCTTGCTCCTCAAAAAAATTCCTTGTGAGATTCTTGAACTTTGATTGAACTCTTGAGATTGAGTTAAGTTCTCCTCCTACAGCTTACCCCCTAGTGCGTCGAAAGCCATAGCGTCGCGAATACTCCATCAATCAACATGATTTAAATTGGGAACGGTAGCTGAGATTAAGAGCTACAACATATCCGAGTTTCGCGACATTCCAACAGCTAGTTTTTCATCGACGTCGTTTCTTGTGAAGACGACTTTTCTGTCCAGAATTTCGGATTTATATTTTGAGTAATTCTAGCTCCTAAGTTCACCTAGACTCCGTCCTTAATCCTAACAAGTGGTATCAGAGCAATATTAAAGACATTGAGAGGAGTCTACAGAAGTTTGAAGACCCTTGTAGACCCACCATGGCCTGTGGGTGTGCCTAAGTGGTGTTCTAAAGGTTGGATGTGTCTTCCGCTAAGGGGAAACTCTGCCGAAATTTCGTGGACGCCGACACTTGTGAAAATATCGAGGGAGCTGAGTGTGGACAGCAAAGGGGAGCTGAAATTCGTCATTTCTCAAGGAGAAGATGAATGAGAGAGGAGGAGATGCTAATGGAAGAGGAGCTGTAGCTGAGAAGACAAGTGAGCCGCCGCCATCAAAAGTTGAAGCTTTGGATGGCTCCAACTATGAGGAATGGAGCGGGCGGATGAGGAGTGCCTTCAAACGCTACAAGCTCCTGAAGATTACTGTTGGGGAAGAGAAGATGCCGGAGGAAAGCGAAGCACGCGAACGGTGGATTGAGAAAAGCGCGGTGCTTTTCGACCTCATCCTTCAATCGGTCAACAAGGAGATGTTCGAGCACATCAAGGATCTTGTGGAAGCGGATGATTCGGGTCCAAGGGCGTGGAAACTACTACGTGATGTGATTCAGCCCAACACTCTCCCAATGGTGATCGTGCTCGAGAAGGAACTTGCTGCCATCTCCATGCGACCAGGGGACGATGTGAAGCCGGTCCTTGACAAGATCAAGGACACCTATGCAAGGATGGCAGCAGCGGGCAGCAGTGTATCTCAGCTGCAGCAGTGCACCAAGATCATCTCGGTGTTGGACAACTCTTGGGACAACCTCATCCCCACCCTCAACTCTCAGCAAGATCAATGGACACCTGAGTGGCTAAGGCAGCAGATTCTGCAGGAGGACTTCCGCAGACGCCATATGGGAGGCGGTGCTGCCACTAAGACTGCTGAGGGGTATGGAGCTGCAGGGCGCGGCAGAGGAAGAGGGGGTTGGAGAGGCCGAGGCCGTGGGAGGAGCTTTGGCAGAGGTAGAGGCCGAGGTGACTATAATGAGGGGCATGGAAGCTCCAGTGGCAGGGGGAGTACCAGAATGGAGGGCACCTGCTGGTACTACAAGAAGGTCGGGCATCCTTGGTTCAAGTGCTTCAGCAGGCCGGAGGGATGGGCACCTCCAGGCATGAAGCCGCCCAGTGGTGAACGCGCACAAGGTGGCGCTGTGCAAGGCTCAGGTGCACAAGGTGAAGGTGCACAAGGAAATGCCTATCCTGGTTTGTTTCTTATGGTTGAGGATGTGCATGGGCATGAGGGTGATGTGGGATCTGTGGGAAAGGTTGTGATGCACCCTCTCACACACTGGGTGATTGATTCAGGTTGCACCAGTCACATGACCCCACGGTCAGATTTGCTTGATGAGGTAAAACCCCCTGGGAAGATCAAGTATGTGGCAGCAGCGTCAGGTGCTTTGCTCCCTGTCATTGGTGTTGGAAATGCCAAGGTTAAGGGAGCTAATGGGGAGGTTGTGGGGCTTGGGAATGTTCTGCTGGTTGAAGGCTTGTCTGCTAACCTTCTCTCTGTGCGACGACTGCAGAAGAGCAAGGCCGAAGTGACCTTTGGACCAACCAGCTGCCGTGCTAAGCTTGGGAAGAAGGTGCTGTGGAGTCTGGAAGAGGAGACCAGCTGCATCAAGGACCTGTGGCAGCTGCCCATCATCCCATGGAATGGGAAGACTCCAACAGCAGCAACGGCAGCAGCGGCAAAGGCAACAGCAGGAGGAGATGCAACTGCACCAACTGATGGGGTCCTGGAAGCAGTCAAGAAAGTGCAGCAGCAGCAGACACATGGTGAGGTGCTTGCTGGTGTGGATGCGAGTGCGGCATGGGCTAAGGCTTCATCAAAGAGTGGAGAGGCCGATTGGGAGACATGGCATGAGAGGCTGTGTCATGTGAACTTCCCTATGCTGCAGAAGTTGGTGAAGGATGGGAGCCTGAAGGGCTTGGAGGTGAAAGGGGGAGTGAAGGAGATTGGGAGCTGCCCTACATGCTTGGAGACCAAGTTCTCCAAGTTCCCCTTCAACAGCACTACAGGACCAGCCAAGACCCCACTTGCACTTGTGCACATGGATGTGGTGGGGCCCACAAGAGCCCCTTCCCTCTCAGGCAGCCGCTATTTTTTGACAATTGTAGATGACCACACTCGGGCAGTGTGGGGTTACCCTTTGAAGAGCAAGGGGGAGGTGGCAGCGGCTGTCCTTAAGGAGTGGATGCCTAGAGCTCAGAGGGAATGCGGACACAAGGTGAAGGTGATCCGTAGTGACAATGGTGGGGAGTTCATTGGAGCTGATTTTGAGGGGGAGTTGAAGAGGAAGGGGATCCAACATCAACTGACAGTGCCCTACAACCCGCAGCAGAATGGCGTGGCTGAGAGGTTCAACAGGACCCTGCAGGAGGGGGCACGCACTCTCCTTGGGCGTGCAGGGCTGCCTGATCCGTTTTGGGTGTCTGCACTGAGGCAGGTCGCCCTTGTGAAGAACATGGTGCTGGCTACAGTTGGAGATAAGGAGTGGATCCCATATGTCAAGTGGTATGGGAGTGCTCCAGCTGTGAACATGCTGAGGGCATTTGGGTGCATGGTGGTGTTTCATGTGCCTAAGGAGAAAAGGGGGAAGTTGGAGGCTTCTGGAAGATGGGGTGTGCACTTGGGGATTGCAAAGGATCACAAGGGGTGGCTGCTATGGGACTTGACCACCCAGAAGTTGACAGTGTCAAGGGATGTGAAGTTTCTTGAGTCCCTGTACTACAAGGAATGGAAGCAGCAGCAACAGAAGCTTCCATCTACACCGCTCATTGTGGAGGCAGATGAGGTGCAGCAGCCTTCAAGACAGGTGGAGGTTGCAGTGTCAGAGGAGGAGATGTCTGGGGTGACTGAGGAAGGGGGAGCAGCTGAAGTAGAGCAGCAACAGCAGCAGCAGCAGCAGCATGAGTCTCCACCTCGAGTTCCACACCCGCCTGAGCGACCTAGGAGGGATGTGCGCCCTCCAGTGAGGCTGACCTATGGGGGAAGAGGCAAGCCGAATGTGGTGCAGGCTGGGAGTGTGGTTGAGCAGATTGAGGAAGATGAGATCGCTCACTGCTACTGGGCACCAATCCCTGAGCCCAAGACTCGAGAGGAGGCTTTGAATGGACCAAATGGGGAGAAGTGGAAGGCGAGTGAGGATGAGGAGTTCGGGTCCCTAATTGAGAACGAGACATGGGACCTGTGTGACTTGCCTCCTGGAAAGAAGGCAATCACTTCCAAGATGATCTACAGGCACAAGTATGGACCTGAAGGGGAGCTGACCCGCTACAAGTCTAGGCTTGTGGCACGGGGGTTTCAGCAGACAAAGGGGAAGGACTATGATGAGGTGTTTGCTCCTGTGGGGAAAGGAACAACACTGAGGGTGCTGTTGGCGATAGCTGCACTCCTGGGATGGAAGATTCGGCAGATGGATATTGTGACTGTCTTTCTGAATGGGATCATTATGGAGGAGGTGTACATGAAGCAGCCAGAGGGGCTGGATGACGGGAGCGGCAGGGTCTGCAGGCTGAAGAAGGCCATCTATGGCCTTAAGCAGGCGCCTCGTGCATGGTATCACAAGTTGGAGGAGGCGCTGTTGGCTGGGGGTTTCAAGAAGAGTGAGTGTGACCCCAGCCTGTTCCTGCTGCAGGAGAAGGATGAAATCCTCATGCTCTTGGTGTACGTGGATGATATCCTTCTCTTTTCTGCATCAACTGCTTTGCTGGACAGCGCAGAGCAGATGCTGGAGATGCAGTTCAAGTGTTCCAAGATGGGTGAGGTGAAGTACTACTTGGGGATGCATGTGGAGAGAGATGTGGAGAAGGGTGTGCTGAGGTTGCACCAGAAGAAGTACTGTGAGGGGCTGGCTGAGAAGTATGGGCTGCAAGATGGGGGAAAGCCAGCAACACCACTACCTTCAGGGTTTACTGTGGGGCCATGTGCTGATGAGGAGGTAGTGGGTAAGAGTGACAGGAAGCTGTTTCATTCGATGGTTGGGTCGCTGAATTATGCTGCAAATCATACACGGCCTGACATTGCATTTTCTACATCACGGTTGGCTAGTGTGGTCTCACGCCCTAGTCATGAGCAGCTGGAAGCGGCCAAGAGGTTGGTCCGCTATGTGAGTGCTACGGCATCAGTGGGATTGGAGTACAGTGGAGTGAGGCAGCGGTTGCAGAGAGGTGCTGCAGATGTGAAGAGTGGAGAGATGCTCTTGAGTTGCTATACTGACGCTAGCTTCAACTCAGTGAAAGCGGATGGCACCAGCATTGGGGGTTATGTGTGCTTGCTAGGAGGTGGTGCTGTGAGCTGGCGCAGCAAGAAGCAGAATGAGGTGGGATTGTCCTCATGTGAGACTGAGTACATGGCCTTACACCATGGGGCCAAGGAAGTGGTATGGCTGAGGCGTTTGTTGGAGGAGTTGGGAGTTGGTCAGGAGGAGCCGACAGTTGTGTTCTGTGACAATGAGTCTGCTGTGAAGCTCGCCAAGAATGCTTGTCTGCATGGGCTGACAAAACACATAAGGCCTAAGTGGCACTGGGTGAGGAGACTCCTTGATAAGGAGGTGCGGCTGGAGATAGTGAAGACCCATCAGCAGGCAGCAGATATTTTCACTAAGCGTCTCGCGGAGGCGGATCATTGGAAGGGCATGAAGCTTGCTGGGATGAGTGTGCATTGAGTATGCATGCTTGAGATGTTGGTATGGTGGATGATGGTTGGCAGCCAGAGGGGGAGATTGTTGTGTGATGTCATCATATGCTATCACATTCTGTCTGCCTCCCATCCCATGTTTTCAACTTGCATGTGTGGTTTGAATGTGCAAGCATTTGTGTGTGGTGTGTTCTGGAGTTTGGGAATGTGTTTTGTGTTATTTTTGTTTGAGCAGGTATTTGTGATGATAGATCTTGAGAAGATCTTTCCGACGCAACAAGAATCGCTTCAATCGGAGCAAGAACGCGAAAGCTATGAAGATTCAAAGTTCATGAGCTTGCGTTACAATTGCGGCGGTTACAAAGTGAAGTTGTGGGGTGACTTTATATGGAGTTGGGACCTTTGGGGTTGGGGAAATTTGTCACTCTACTGTAACAGCTGCAAATTGGTTGGGAACAACCAAGCTAGGTTGGCAAGGGTGGCCAACTTGGATGGATTGGTTGGGAAGGGACAAATGTCAAAATTGGGGTTCCTATAGGGAGGGAATCTTTGTGCTTATGGGGTTTCCTTGGTTGGGGACTCTCTTGGGACCTTCCCTCTCGTTCCTCTCTTTCTATCCCAACCTTTTCTCTTGCTCCTCAAAAAAATTCCTTGTGAGATTCTTGAACTTTGATTGAACTCTTGAGATTGAGTTAAGTTCTCCTCCTACAGCTTACCCCCTAGTGCGTCGAAAGCCATAGCGTCGCGAATACTCCATCAATCAACATGACTTAAATTGGGAATGGTAGCTGAGATTAAGAGCTACAACATATCCGAGTTTCGCGACATTCCAACAGCTAGTTTTTCGTCGACGTCGTTTCTTGTGAAGACGACTTTTCTGTCCAGAATTTCGGATTTATATTTTGAGTAATTCTAGCTCCTAAGTTCACCTAGACTCCGTCCTTAATCCTAACAAGGCAGAGAAGAAGGAGGTGCTGCTGCGGAGGATACCGGGGAGGCCGAGTGAGACACGCTGGATGAAGAAGGCCCTAGAGAAGGAGCAGCGGCCGGAGGTGGGGCATCAAAGTCTGCCCATACAAGCGTCGGGGGAGGTGAAGGAGGCTCGCCTGTGGTCGCAGAGTGGAAGGGGCGTGTCTCATCAAAGATGATATCATGGCTGCGAATCAGCTGTCTGGTGATGGGGTTGAGGAATAAGTAGTCTGTGGAGTCGGAGTTGTGCCCCAGGTACATGCAGGTCTGGGTTTTGGGACCAAGCTTGCCACCTTGCTTCCTGTGCGTGTGGGGGCTCAGCAACACATATGCGGTACACCCCCAGATACGTAGAGAGTGGGCGGAAGGCGTGGCCCCAAGCCAGAGAGTGGTAGGTATGGTGTCGGGCCGGTGGGGATGAGCATAAAGATTCTAGAGGAGAGCCGCATGGAAGAGGGCATATCCACAGAGTGACCTTGGTGCATTGGCGTAACTGAATATGCAGCGAGCGATCTGAACCAAGGTGTGGTTGCGGCTCTCTGCATTGCCGTTCTACTGTGGGCTTTCAGGGAGCGTGAAGGTTGCCGAATCCCTTGGGCCGTGCAGAAGTTATCGATTTTGCCATTGCGAAATTCTCCCCCGCCATCAGAATGGAGGCACTTCAGAGGAGTGCCGAACGTGACTTGAGCCTGGCGCACCCATGCCATGATGACGTCAGGTGCCTCCGCCTTGGTATGCAGGAGGTGCACGGAAACATACCGCTAGTGGTCATCAACTAGTGTAAGAAAGTACCGATGACCGCCACGGGATGCGACTGGAGCTGGGCCCCAGACATCCATGTGCACTAGGTCCAGCGGAGCAGCTGCGACGGATGGGGAGGAAGGGTGGGGCTGCTGCCTGAGCTTGCTCTTGGTGCAGTCCAGGCAGGTGGGTGCAGGTGAGTCTGTTGGTGGAGGAAGCGCCGACGGGAGGCCCAGAAGAAGTTTCTTGGAAGCGATGTCAGCAAGTGTACGGAAGTTGGGGTGACCCAAGCGATGGTGGTAGAGGATGGTTGGGTTGGCGAAGCTGCGACACGAACACGGAGTGGTGCTGGCAGCTTGCGTTTGGGAGAGGGCGGCGAGAGGTGCAGGTGAACGCAGCGTGTAGAGCTTGCTGCTGTTGAGTGTGAAGCGTGCTAGGAGCTTGTTGGACTTAGGGTCGAGGAGGTCATAGTGATCCGAGTGTGCTGGGAAGATCGTGGTGACGCCTGCCCGTTGGAGCTCGTGTTGGGCCACGAGATTTTGGCGTAGTGTGGGAACACACATGCCGGTGACACTGCCCGAAGGAAAAGCTGGGCACGGAACTGTGGAGGAGCCCTTGGCGTGTGTTGTGAAACTGGAGTCTGCTCCTAGTAGACGGATTGGTGTCTCGTATGGCTTGAAGGAGTGTTCTTCCTTGAGAACCGTGTAAGTGGCCCCACTGTCGAGGGTGAACTCTATTGTGGCTGAGGTGCTTTGTGAGCCGGGACACTGCGAAATGTTGAGAACAACATGTTGAGGCGCACATCAGCAGGGGGAGCTACAGCAGCCTGCACGGATTCGTGCGCTTCGACTTGATTGACCTTGCGAGGAGCACGATTGACCATCCAGCTTGGTGGCTTCGAGGCGGTCCCATTAACGGCATACATCATCCTTCTTCTTGAAGCAGGAGGTGATGGCGTGGTTGGTGCCGCCACACACCTGGCCGGCACGAAGGCCGCGCTTGATGACGTAGGGATACGGGGGAAAGCGGTTGCGCTGGAATGGTGCCGAAGCGGCATAGGCTTGAGGCACGGGAGCGCGGATTGCATTGGCCTTGGCTTGAGCACTGTTGTCATTTTCGGCAGAAAGGAGCGCGGATGAGACCTTGGCAAATGTGAGGTCCGCAGGAGCAAGACCCAAGAGCATCTTGCGTGTGACTTCGTATGTCGGAAAAAGGGCGACTAGGAGAGCGGCTGCAGGGGCTTGCTCGGGGAAGACTATCCCCAACTGTTTGAGTTGACCATGAATGGACTGTATTAGAAATAGATTTCAAATCCTACTTTTGTAGTTGTACTTTTATATTCTAGATTAGGTTAGGAATGTTTTAGTGGGTCGGGGTGTACTCACTAAATCCCAACCTCACCCAATTGTGATCCCCACAATCTCCAATTACCCAATTGGAGATTCCGGAGATCCCAATGGGGATTCCCTCCGATTCCCCTTTCATCCATTCTCCCTTACCTTGCCATGTACTTATAGAGCCTTGGGCTTCTTACCTAATCAATCATTTCAGCTCTTTTTCTTACATGGAATCAGAGCGACCTATTCGAACACGTGCCCGCGCTACGCACACCTCATCATTGCGACATTCATCTCGAGTCGTCGGAATTTTCGACGTGCTCCACTCTGCAGTCGCGCCTCTCATCGTCGACCGCCTTCGCGCTCGACCTCTTTGAATTTCTCACCTCTGAAGCTTTCACGCTTCTCATCGTCGATTTCCTCCTCGGTTCTCCTTGGTCGAATCTCAATTTCGACCACCTCTTAAAAACTCGTTTTTGAGTTTCCTCTCGGACGCCGCCAGCATAGGCGAACTCCCCTTGCACAATGGCATTCTAGAGAGCCACAACCACACCTTGGTTCAAATCGCTCGCTGCCTCCTCAGTCACGCCAACGCACCACGGTCACTCTGGGAATATGCCCTCTTCCATGCGGCTCTCTTCTACAATCTTTATCCGCATCCCCACCGGCCCGACACCACACGTACCACTCTCTGGCTTGGGGCCACGCCCTCCGACCCCTCTCTACGCGTCTGGGGGTGTACCGCATATGTGTTGCTGAGCCCCCACATGCGCAGGAAGCAAGGTGGCAAGCTTGGTCCCAAAACCCAGACCTGCATGTACCTGGGGCACAACTCCGATTCCCCAGACTACTTATTCCTCAACCCCATCACCAGATAGCTGATTCGAACCCATGATATCGTCTTCGATAAGACACGCCCCTTCCACTCTGCAACCATGGGCAAGCCTCGTCCACCTCCCCCGATGCTTGTATGGGCAGACTTCGATGCCCCACCTCCGGCCGCTGCCCCTTCTCCGAGGCCTTCTCCGTCCGGCGTGTCTCTCCCGGCCTCCCCAGTATCCTCCGCAACGGCACCTCCTCCTGCTCCGCCTTCCCCACGCGTCGAGCCCGACTCACCAGTCTCCTACCGGTCCCACCGGAGCTGCTTTCGTCTCCGGTCTCTAGCCGCACTCGTTCCAAGGGATCGGCTCCGCCTCTCGCCTGGGGACCAGCCGCCTTCTCCATCCGGTGTTCGTATGGAAGAGAATTGTGCACGATTTCGGATCGAATGTTATCTCTGAGACTAGCCATGCTGAGGCCAAAGATGCCTTAAGTCGATTGGTCCCGTCTTATCATGCTCTCCATGCCATTCCAAGCCTAGGCGGGACACATGGCTTGGAATGGCTTGGAGAGCATGAGTATGTTGCGCTGGAGTGACCCTTTTCTTCACCAAACCTCAACCTGAATATTTTTACCGAACAGTTATGACTTCTTCGACTGCTGCACCGTGATGAGACCTGCAGATCCTAGCGTGATTCTAATAGTGCAAGGGTGCACGATCGACCGTGCTACGATATCCTCAGTTTCGCGGCGTATACTCTAGTTTTCGTTGCTCTGTTCGTGGTTTTACCCTATAGCGATACCACGAAGTTGACCTTTGATAAGATCGAACCAATCGGGTAATGGTATCTTTGGTCACACCTCAGCGTGGCTAGTCACGAAGACAACATTCACTCAAAAATCGTGCACAAATTTCTTGCATACGCTCAAATCCTTTGCGATATTCCGAGTGCTCACCCCCTTATGCAAAAAGGTGGGTCTAGGAAGAGATCGAGAAGATCCCTGCAAAGCTTTGCACTAACCTCATAGACAACATGCCTAGGAGGGTGCGGGTGGTGATCAAGGCCAAGGGTCGGTGGACTAGGTACTAGAAACGCTGTTCGGAAGTTTACTCTTTGTCCTTGGAAAGAATTATCCGGATGTACTCTTTGTTTTGGCATATTGTTAGATCCAGTGTAATATTATGGATTTTAGCACTGTGAACACATCTACTAAGTGCCCCTCCCAAAGCGTACCACCATTAAACATAAGACTTTATGTACAGTGGTCGAAAAGCCCAAAAACCCTCATTAATGCAAAACATCATGACAATTGTTTCCGCCACTGTATGAAATCTTCGAAGCAGAAGCCAGCTGGATAGTTGCAACCGATCCCGCCGCCTGAGCGGGGGCTGCAGCAGGTGACGATGGACTTCGTCACAGGACTGCTTGCAAAGGACGGCTGTAATGACGCGATATTTGTCGTCGTCGATAAGCTGACGAAGATGGCCCACTTCGCCGCCTGCAAGGAAAGTATCTCAGCCAAAGAAACAGCCCGCCTCTTCATCCCAACTGTCGTTCACCTCGATGGAATTCCATCCGCCATCATTTTGGATCGTGACACAAAATTCACCAGTAATTTATGGCGCAACCTATGGGAACAGTTTGGCACGCGCCTGCAATTCTCCTCCGCCTACCACCCGGAGACTGACAGACAGACCAAACGGGCCAATCAGACGATGGAGGAGCTGATTCGCACCACCTGCGACGACTGGGAGCAGCAACTTCCACTCATTGAGTTTACGTATAATAATGC